CGCTATGGAGCGCTACTTTGGGACTATGCTAGAAAGAAGCAGGAGCATGGGGCAATCAGTGAAAGTGAGGTAACTGGCAAATTGGCAAGGAGAAAAGGTGCACCAGCTTTGAATGAGAAAACACGAGTCCAGAGAAAGAAGAAGTAGTTGTAATATTTTGTATGAAACATGTGGTACAATTGTTTAGTTGATGCTAGTTTAGAAGAAGATGGTAGACAAGTTCTTGAACAATATTGTTGTGTTTTGATTGTAGCAGACTTGCACTATAATTATAGTAGCCTTTATTTTTTTTTTCTTATCCAATATAGTAGTTCAAATGGAAATATTCTGTTGGTTTTATATTCACTTGTTGAATGTTTACAGTACTTGATCTTCATTATTTTAGCATATAAATCCTTTCCAACTGAATTTTTATACAGTTATTCTGTCAACGCAAAAATATGTAGTTATTTTGTTTTTTTCTGTAGATACAGTGTAAAAATCTGTAACTAAACATTTTGTTGCTTTTACATTCAATTTGTTGAATGTAAACAGTACCTGATCTGCATTATTTTTAGCATATAACTTCTTTCTAGCTGAATTATAATCTAGTTATTATGTCAGCTCCAGCTATTGTAGTTTTTTTGTAGTTGAATTTGTAGATAATTTGTAGAAAATATTTAACAATGTGTTTTGTTGCTTTTATATTCATTTGTTGAATGTAAATAGTACTTGATCTACAATATTTTAGTATATAACTCCTTTCCTACTGATTTGTAATGTAGTTATTCTGTCAATTCCAGTTAATGTAATCTTTTTGTAGTTATATTGTAGATAAATTACAAAAAAATATTAACAACTATGTAAAGGATTCTATGAAAGTATTATCTCAATACAGAAAAATCCTAACTAACTACATTATGATCTTAAAAAACCTCAACAATTACACATCAAATTCTGTTATCCTGAACTCATCAATAATTTTTATGAAATATTCTGTTAACTACATAAAATTTTATTTCTTTTTGGGTGCATTCTTGCAAGATCTTTTGTTATGCCCTTCTCCTCCGCAGTTGCCACATGAAACCTTGTACTTCTTTGAATTTATTTCATCATATGTTTTGTATCTTTCTTTTTGAGGTCTTCCTGGCTGCCTTTTCCCTTTTGTAGGTGAATTTACTACTTCTTCAGATATATGTTGTGGCACACTCCATTTGCTTTCATCAGGCAGGGGATTTACTGGTATTTCATAAGTACGCAATAGGTTATTCCTTGTGTAATAAGGAGAACAATATTGTTCAAAAGACTCATCCCTGTGTCTTAAAGCAGCCAAAGCATGTGGACAAGGAAGTTCATCAAGCTGGAATTGCCCACAACTACATCTCTTGTTTTCTAGACAAATAATATAGCGCCCCACACCATCTAGTACTGTATGGATGTAGTCTGTTGAAACCCTCACCTACAATTACATTACAAACAAAAAAACAATTCATATACGGTTAAATACAAAATATCTACAAATTATCTACATTGTCATGTATAAATTAATTTGATGCAAGAAATGATCAGATCTTACTCTAAGCTTGTACGACAATGTTCTGTTGTCATCCAACTCTTTGTTGAATTTAAACCCAAGGTATGTGAATGTACCATTTGCTTTCAATAACTTTTCCTTCGTCCAACGTTCAAGAAGAGTCCTCATATACTGTATTTCATATTAATTTTTCAAATGATATGTAGTTTTATTGTAGAATAAATGTAGAAATTTTGTAGATATTGTAGAAATTTTGCAGATAATTTGTAGAAACATTGAAATTCTGTATTTCATATTAATTTTTCAAATGATATGTAGTTTTATTGTAGAATAAATGTAGAAATTTTGTAGATATTGTAAAAATCCATACTGATATATATATATTTACTCTGACATGTAGTTTATTTGTAGATAAAATGTAGATAAAGTGTAGGACATTGATATACAACCAGAATTTGATAGAAAATGTAACAGCACAAACCTGCAACTGTGTTCTCATTGGTGATACCCAATTCCATATTGAAATCGCGAACAGTTATACATAGCGGATATGATCCTAAGTTTTTGTTTTCCTTTTTCGTCTCCATGTATACACGAACACCCATATCGTTCCTAATTTTCATTGGAGGACAATGCTCGTTGACAATGTATTTAATTTCTATATTTTTCTCGGATGTATCGATCATTAATTTTTGTGCTATTGTAGAAATCAATATACTATAACTCGCGTCCTCATCGACTACAATGCCATCGACCTGAAATTCTCTAAATCTCCCATAGCTATCCCAATTCCCATTCAGTTGTAGCATAAATAGGATTTTGGACATAATTGCGTTTGTTGCATAAGAATTGTAGAAGATTTAGTCGTTTTTGATTTGTGAAATCAGAAAAAATGTTGAAACACAGTGTATCGCAAAAACAGAGTCGCTAAATTTTGAATCGAAACAGCCGATAATTATTAATGCGTGATTTGCGTTGTAAAATATCTAGAAGAATATTTAATTCCCCAATATTAGCGCGCCTAAATAAGGAAGCCTACAGCTACAATGATTCCTTATTTAATGAATTGTCTATATTTCGTAAAAATATTATTAGCATGGCGGGTAATATGCAAACTATGAACATATTTGGTAATATAGTTTCATATATGGTATAGGAACGAAAATTTCCCTTTAAGAATTGGTTCTGTTCATGGACGGAGAAGACCTGAACCCATGCTAATAATGTGATCTTCGTGCTTTGTGGGCCTCCGCCTTAAGAGGTTTTTTTGGGAACTTATAAGACCTTAAATATCTTAGGGAAACTATCAGCTATGTCCATTTATAAGCAGCTCATTACGAAAATTGGTCAATTCATAAAATATTATTAATATTAGCCAAATATTACTAATATAAGCCAAATAGCTATTTGTAGCAAAAAAGTCAAATTTTGCTTTCTTTTGAGTGGGTGTTATTAGAATAGATTGGGTAAATCTTAAGAAGCTTGAATCTCAGTTTTGAGATAATTTGATGAAGTTTTGAGGTGATTTGAATTTGAAAATTCGAATTAAAAACTTAACATGAAAAAAATGATATGTTTATCACACTGTGTATCATTTGTGTATCACATATGTATCATATTCGTATCAATCGTGTATCACATGTATATCCATGTATACCTGTGTGTGAGATGCATACGTGATACATGTTTGATACATGTGTCGTAGTCTTGCAGAAGACTTTTTTTAACTCAATTTAATTACGAATTTTGATACAAAACAAGTCCAAATCACCTCCAATCTTCCTCGAATTGTGTATATAGACTTATTTATTTGTTTTTAATGAATTTCAACTATACCCATTGAAACAAGTTCTTTTTTTTTTCTTAGATTTTTGGAATATTGGAATTTTTTTTTTTTTGTATTTCACCTTATTTGCTACCTCATCCATGAAATTTCCTTTCCGTCTTGCATCTAATGTTGCTAATCACGCTTAAAAATATGGAAGGTGATTTTTGCATGTAATGTTTTGAGAGAAAGAACCTTATTTATTTGGTTTTTCGATTTTTACATGTATTTGGCTAGTTTTGGTAAGTCTATGACTAATGGCTAGAGGTTGGTTAAGACTTACAGCTTGTTTAGATGGTTGTTCTCCGTTGTATCGTATTGTATTTTTATCCCAAAACAATGTTTGTTTTGATTGTTTCATTAAAATTGGTTGTATTGTATTGTTAAATCCATTATTCCGGAATAATGAAAAGTCTCCCTTTTTTAAACAACCGATTTGGTGTGGTGGGATTGTTTCTTATTTTTCTTTTCAATTAGCCCTAACTTATTACTCCAAAATTCTTTTTTTTTTATCCGTGGTTTCCGGCATCGCTTTGCGAACCCGACTAGCTGTACCCACCGGGACCCGCTATTTCAACGCGTGTACCACGGTTAGTTCCACGGCGCCCTGGAGACGCGGCCGGTTTGTAATGCCTCCAGTGACCCTGCGGGGGCTCGAACTGGCGACCTGAAGGACTTTGTCCTCATGCCTTTACCAGTTGAGCTACCCCTGAGGGTTTACTCCAAAATTCTATATTACCCTTTACCTTTTTTTTCTATTTTAACTCCAAATCGCCAACCTATAACCTACTTCGTTTTTTTTTTCAGAACTTTCTGCCGCCGACGTTAAAGGTGTTTTGCCGCCTTTTGTTTTATTTTTTCTACTAATTTTCTTTTAACTCAATTCTAATTAGTTGTGCTCCTTTATTTTGCCTTCTTCTGTCTCGCTCCTTTGTTCTGCTTTCTTAAGGTGTTTTGCCTTCTTCTGTTTTGTTTTTTAAACTATTTTTATGCATAATTTTTGTTAAATTTAATATTTAAACAATTGAGGGTATTTTAGTCAACTTATCAGTTACAGTACAGTACGATACAGTTAAACCAAATAGAAAAATATTATTTAACAATAACAAACAATACAATCTATCCAAATATTGCATTTATAAAACGATACGGTACAATACAATACAATACAATACAATACAATATATTATAAAACGACAGAGAACAACGATCCAAACAGAGTGTTATTTGGGACATTTGTGTAAGTTTCCCAATATCTTACGGGTATATTGTCCCGTCAAGATTTAAATCATTAATGTGTCTATTTCCTTGAAAAGCCCTGATTAATATACATCTAGTATTAATGCCGCAACAATTTTAATAGTCAAAGGCCTTTCATCATTTTATACAACATGGGGAGTTAAGATGAAAATTCCTATACACAACAACAACAACATGGGGAGTTGATGTTCTTCTTTTGGGGTGGACGGTGGGTTGGGTGGGAAGCTGCGTTATTAAAAAGCCTAAGTAGAATAAAAGTGCATTAAGACCCTATAAATTAACTAAGACAAAGTTTTCTTTACATTTAAAGAAAAAATCCACTCCACGTTTGAGTGGGATACGTTTTAATTTAAAGATACGCTTTGATATTTGACACCATTCTCGTGCTTCGGGGAAGAGGTGTGAAAATACCATTACTGCCATTACTACCATTCACATCAAGCTGCTAACCTTATCAAAACAAAAACAAGAAAAGCATGGAGAGTTGTTGTTGGTTTTCCTTTTTGGGTGGGCGTGAAATGTAATCTGCAGTCAAAGAACCTAATTGGAATAGAAGTGCATTAAGACCCTACAAATTGACTAAGCCAAAGTTATCTCTACATATCAAGATAAAATCCACCCCAAATTTGAATGGACACATTTTAATTTGAAGATACACTTTGATATTTGACCCCACCATTCTCGTGCTTAGGGGAGGTGGCGTGAAAAGCACCATAAGTAGTGCCATTAGTACCATTTGCAGCAATATCCTTTGTCCTAGTCTCCACATACTTTCCGGCCATAGAATCAAACAAAATCCCAGCGCCAATGCCAACTGCCAAATCAATAGTGTAATGACCTCTAGTGCTTAGCAACCTCACCACTTGCAATACATTCAAGGTGTCAAATGCTCGAGCCAATTCCCATCTCTGCATGCGTTTCATATCCAGCGAAGCAATCACGGAGGCCGCAACATGTCCGGAATAAAACAAGAAAAACGACACATTCCCGACTGGAAAATCAACGCCCGACCCCAAGAAATCCTACAATCAGAAAGCGATCTATCGGTGATTTTTTATACTAGTATTAAATTGAATCGTAGATTGAAATTGGCGCACCACATGTAATGTAATTGAATAAATGGTAAAAGAGTGACCACTTGTCAGCTTCAAAGCTGAGTAATGCATATTTAATGTTTAAAAAAATGCAGAACTACCACCAAGCAAATAACATACTAGTACCGTTTCGCTAGGACAAGTCCAAGCAACTATTTATTAGACAGCTACATAATACGTGACATAATGTGCAGTTGGGCCATATGGTCCCCTAATTATTTAAGAAAAATAAGGTACTATATATGGAGCAACACTTTCGGCATTATTACTCCTTTTGTTAAAATAAAATATTGTTTGAAACATAACGTAATTGCTTCTTTGAGCACAAGACTACACGAAATTTCAAGGCAATCCGTCTAAAATTACTATTTAATTCAAGAATTCAAATTATATACGTCGTCACTATTTTTTTTTACTCTATCAAGTCACTCAACCGATATCTAATATGACCCTTACACTGATGGCTTAAGGTAATGGTTAACTTGTGATCTAAGCGAATAAAGTGGAAAGAACACTTATTTAAAAAAGCTTTAAAGCAAAAGACATCTAGCTGTAAACAAAGAGAAATTGTCGAAAAAGTACCTCAGGCAATGGCAGCTGTGTAGCATACCCAAGAATGCCTCTGAACGTAAACATGAACAGCGCCGAAATTGTCGCTCTCGGCCGCCCTTCTATTAGAAAAGTCCCCAAAATGTACGCCGTTTGCATCGCCACGAACACCTAACCAAACCCAAAGTAGATTTGTTAAAAACCAAAAAAATAAACAACCATCAACATGCACTAGCAAAAAAAAAAAAAAAAACTACACCAAGAAAAATCTAAAAAATGGATGAATTTTGATAAATGGGAAAATTCTTTCGATAAAGTGCAGACAATGTAGATCCGGTCAGTTGCGAAGCCAGGAATATTTGAATCTATAGACACAATATAAGTTTTTATAATATTTCGTGTTCAGTTGACCACCCTTCAATATGTATGTGGCTACACCATTAGATCCATTACATAGCAAGAAAACATAGACATGCACAAATTTAAACAAGTGCGTACCGTGTTTAATCCAGCAAAAATAGTGTTGAGAGCGGGTTTGGCTGCAAGCAAACGATTGAGAGGAATCGTAACAATGAATCCCAGATCAAACGGTGGAGAAGTAGATGGGACCATACGAAGAGTGTATTCCACTCCCATGAAAAACAACAGCGAAGCAGCAAAGACACACGGTATCGGGTGGTACTTCACCACACCGAATACATCCTCCACCCTCCACTTCATGAAATACGCATTACCTAGCCACCCATTATAACCACCCAAATCGGACGACGATTTCTTCTTCATTTCTCTAATCTTACCGTTCTGCTCAATTTTCTCCTTGCCGTTATATTTTCCGTTAATGCTACGTCTATTGCTGAGGGTAGGGGAAGAACCATTACGAGCGTCTCCGTTCATTGCTGCCGTTAGAGATGGCGGAAACGGAGACGGAGAAAAACATAGTGAATGTGGTTGTATTTATATAAATATGGGAATGAAAAGTGACGGATTATCCAAAGATAGGGTGTCGTGGAGATTTTGTAGATCTTAGTCTAATGGCACTCACAGAGGGGAAAGGGATAGAGTTTTCACAACAAGTGTAGGAAATGCAGGACAATAGGGATACCTACTTGTCGACTATAACGCCAAATAAACGATGATGTTAAAGATTCCACACGCGACTCTGAGCGCGTAACATAAGGAGTTTTCGCAAATGGTGCGCTGTTTCAATAGCAGGTGGGGTGACACTCACGTTATTATATATACGTTATAAAGGGCAGCCAAATTGCCTCTATGCGCGGGATCCAGGAAATGGCTGGTCCACAAGCAATGGCGAAGCTAGAGATTTTATTTAACGTGTTCAAACTTGAATAAGTAAAAAAAGTCTCCGATAAAGGATTTCAGTATGTGTTATATATCATTAAAATCTAATATTTTACCTATATATACAGTGTAATTTTTCGATAAAGGATGGTCGGTTAACCACAAGGGTCTATTGTACGCAGCCTTATCTTGTATTTATGTAAGAAATTATTTTCACGGCTTGTACCCGTCATCTTCTGGTCATATGACAACAACTTTACCAGTTACGCCAAGACTCTCCTACCCTTACCGAAGGAAAGAAAAACTTTTTTTTTGGGGTAGAAGAAAGAAAAAACTTAACACGGCATGGCCATCACTCTCACTTGACTAACTTCCTATTTGGGTTCTAAAACTTTTTTAGTATAAATTTCTTAGATTCACTCCTACGCCTTTAATTTACTTATTAGTAAAGATTATTATAAGCCTTTAAACACTTTCTAGAAAAGTTGATGAACATTCAAAAATATCTAGCTAAACATTAGGAGAAATATGATGCTACTTTGTTTTGTTCGTATTATCTGGCTTTTAAGTTTTTTATACTTTTTAAAAAGAGGTTTAATAATTTAATCCTTAAGTATTTATCAGAAGTCAAAACTACCAATTTGTATTCTTTAAATGTCTCACTTAATAACTAATGCCTAACTGAACAAACTGTAGATTTGAAAAAATGAAGTAATAAATGACTAGTCTATACTCTCTCTGTTTCAATTTAGATGAGGTAGTTTTACTCGGCAGGAAGTTTAAGAAAAAGAAAAAAAAAGACTTCTGAAACTTTTGGTCTAAAAAGCTTAAGGGGTATAAGTTTTGTTGGGCTGCGGCATTTTTGTGGTTAAAAAATCTTCTCATTAAGGGTAAAATGAATAAAATAAAGAGTTTAAAGTTGAATTATTTTCAAATTTAAAAATATGTCATTTATTTTGGAACAGACAAAAAAGGAAAGTACCTCATCTAGTTTGAAATAGAGGCTGTACTATATTAAAAGCACGAAGGCCCTTAACAAAATATCATTCGCCTTCTTTACCTTTTAAAAATAGAATTTGCACTAGACAAAATAGTCATTTAATTATTATCCTAATATTTTGTACTTTGAAATCGACTAAAATTTTAGTTAGTAAATCTTTTCCTATTTGAACTAGGTAGAATTTCCAAAAATTTAGGAATTTAAAGTCCATTAAAATTCTACCTTAAGTAAATTTTTTCTTATTTGAGCTATATATGTAACTTAATTATCATTTTTACATGTTACTTTTCGTGGATAAAAAAGAGTAAATTAATGAAACTAACAGCTTGTTTGGATGATTGTTCCCTGTTGTATCGTATTGTATTGTTATCCCAAAATAATATTTGTTTTGATTGTTTCATTAAAATTGGTTGTATTGTATTGTTAAATCCATTGTCTCGGAACAATGAAAAGTCCTCTTTTTTGAAACAACCAATTTGGTGTGGTGGGATTGTTTCCTATTTTTCTTTCCAATTATGCCCTAACTTATTACTCCACAATCCTATTTTAACATTTATCTTTTTTTCTATTTAACTCCAAATGTCAAACCTACTACTTTGTTTTTTCCAAAACTTCTGCCGCCAACGTTAAAGGAAATTTTCCGCCTTCTCTTTTATTTTTTCTCCTAATTTGCTTTTAACTTAATTCTAATTAGATGAGCTCTTTTGTTTTGCCTTCTTCTGTCTCGGTCCTTTATTCGGCGTTCTTAAGGTGTTTTGCCTCCTTCTGTTTTGTTTTATAAAATTACTTTTATGCATAATTTTTGATAAATTTAATATTTAAACGATTGAGGGTATTTTAGTAAACTTATCGGTTACAGTACAGTACGATACAGTCAAACCAAACAGCAAAATATTATTTAACAATAACAAACAATACAATCTATCCAAACATTGTATTCATAAAACGATACGATACAATACAATACAATATATTATAAAACGATGGGAAACAATGATCCAAACAAAGTGTAACTAACTGATCCTACAATTTTTATGCTAATATTTAAAAGGGAACGTAAAAAAAGTGCATGAAAAACATAAATTGATATAAAAATAAAAAAAAATAAAAAAAAGTTAACGATAATTCATATTTGAGGTAAGAGGTAGGGATGAGTTTAGACTTTAAAGAGCATTAAGGACGTTCTTTTTTCTTTAAACATGCTCAAATTCTTTGTCCACTTTTATTGTTATATTAGAAACTAATCAAATAATATTTTTTAAAATGTGAAATCTATTTTAAACGGCGAAAAGCTTGATTAATATTTTGTACAAAGGAATATGAATAATAAAATGACGTATATATACAATTGGTCCCGAGTAAAAGAACTACTTTAGAAAAAAATCATAGGTAATATAAAATAAAGATCGAGCTAAAAATTTATAAGAACTGTTAATAATAATTGAGTTTGGATGCCTATGTGATAACAAAGGTATGAATAGAATAGAGTGGATCAAACTTCTAAATGTGATTAATATCAATCATTTTGAAACATGCAAATTTTTATGAATTTTTATATTATAACGCAAATATATCTTTTAAATATTTTTCTATATTATTTTTAAAATTTTACTTTCGTTAACACGAAGGATACCCATAACGCGTGTACGCTAAGACTAGTACAATTAAAAGCAACAAATAATTATTCCTTCCCTTTCAATTTATCTGTCTTAATTTAATTTGATACAAAGTTTAACTACGAGAGAAAGACCATTGAAACTTATTATGTTAACTACGTTATAATATTTGTGTGACTAAAAAGTTTTAAAATTTGTTATCTTAAAAAAATTATAGCATTTATGTGATTATAAAAGCTTCTCAATAATATAGAAAGGTACCAATCATTTTAAAATGACTATAAAAAAATAGTATTGTATCAAACTTTGCTGAACCAAGGAATTATTTGTTCTATGTAAATACTGTAAAGTTTTATGGGATATTGGTCCACACAGTGAGGTCTCCAGCTGTTATTAGCATAATATTAATAGTACATAGTAAATACAGACTAGTACGTCAGTAGTTGCCCTTATTTGTTTCTATTACAACATATAGGGTACATATTAAATACAGACTAGTACGTTAGTAGTTGCCTTATTTGTTTCTTGCTGCTAATAATTAATACAACATAGGGTACATAGTAAATATAGACTAGTGCATTAGTAGTTGCCTTACTTGTTTCTTCATTTTTTTTATCTCCAGTCATTATATTGTAATATAATACGATGGATGTTATCACAATGTCACTAGATTTGTCAGTCGGCATGCATTTGCTCTCTTTCTTCCTCTAAATCCGGAATCAAAATGTGGTTTTTTGGACTCAAGAACAAAAATATGTGGAAAAAAAATATAATGACCAAAATATATATAACGTCTTTTTAAAGACGCTATACCTTAACGACCGTTTGGCAAGTTAAGTATAGCGTCTTTTAAAAAGACGCTATATATAGCGTTTTTCACTAAGATGCTATATGTATTATGTGGGCCCACAATAGTTCTTCTTCGCTTAATTGACATGACAATAACTCAAATAATTCACCTCCGAACTGATTTTTACCTTATTTAAGGACGTTTAGGATTTTGTAAAAATCCATTCAGAAATATTCTCAAGTCTTGTGAAATTTTTCTTTGTTAAATTGTTTTGCATTTTGTCATAATGTCTGAAGAGCGAAGAATTAGAGTTTCATTATATTTGGGGGGGGGGGGGGTGAGGTTGTGGTGGCGAATAACTCAGTAAGCTATAGTTTATCTCCACAGTCTCATGTTAAGTTGCCACTTACAATGGAGTACGATACATTGGTATCGTTGGTATGTAAAAAAATGAGTGTGAGCAAACGTTCGGTGAATCTTAAAATAATCGGAAGATATCCATATTATGTGACTCCGCAAGGGGTTGCTTGTTATGCGGAGTTTAACATCGAAGACGATGAAACATTGAGAGATTTTTTGAGGACTCCGGATGAATACCGGGAATTTATTGTGATAAAACTGTTGGAAATGTACGTCAAGGCTGAAGACGTTCGCAATAATGAGGTTACACAAAGTAGGGAAATCCCTCAATCATCGGTTGGTTATTTTGGAGCAGGTTCCGGCTGAAAGAGTTTGGCCGGATCTAAACTTATCTCCACGGGCGAATGAGGAGCGAGGAAATAATTCTCCCCTAGTATACATAATCTACAAGCCGAGTGGTAAACTTCAATTTTCCTTTGTGTTACGATATATATTTTTGTGTATTGTATTTATATTAGCACTTATATATTCCACGTGGGTACCGACCAGATATGAATTTTACAAGTTATGAACCAACGGCCAGTTGGAATATGCCTAGTTTTGGTGTGTTGGATCATGGCGGTCCATCCGGGAGCCAGCATCAACAAGATAATGTGCATCAGGGGATATCAACACATTATGATTTGTAAGTGAATATACAAAGTTATATGTATTGTTTGGACAAATTTGAGTAACTCATTATTTCTTTGGTTGTGCAGTGAAAACAAGCAACTTGATGGTCCTGTCCTTACTCAATTACCTGAAGACGACGTATTTAATCGGGATCTGGCAGATGCGCAAAGTCAGGAAGAGAATAGTTATGACAACAATGCCGATGAGTCTGGAGATGACACACCCTTCCCTGACGAGGGTGATGAGGAGGAGGAAGAGAATGCCGAACCTCATTTGACGAGGGAGCATGCTCCACCTCCCATTAGACCAAGAGTGTGCGAGTCCCACGTGTCGTTTCATTCAAGGCATATTCCCTACTTTGATCATTTTCCAAGTATGTCGTATGTGGATGTTCTCACAAGGGATATTGACGAAATTCGGACAGCAATGTGGGATGAATCTAGACCAACGGTGCTGTTAAAGGGCATG